CAGAATTGAGTAGTTGCAAAGGAGGACCTGAAGCCTGCAAAGCCTAAACTATTTATTATTTGAGTTTGCTGACCCCCTGCTCTAGAGAATTTCCTCCCCTGCGTCTGCTCCAGCTGGTCTTATTGCATCCAAGGTCCTCACTGCTGGGACCCTAGTGTCTAACCAGAGGAAATTAACTTCGAAGAATATTTTATTTTTTAGTAACTTCCTCTTCAATATTAAGGCTATAATGGGTGAAGTGAATGCAGTGCTATACTGTTGAACTTAAAGAAATAAAAAGAAAAAGGAAAGGAAGTAAGGAGGGAGGGAGAGGAGAAAGACACTACCAGAGTAGAAAGGAGGAAATGGGAATTTTAAAATGTAACTTCTAAGAAAGATAGTGATAGAATATTCTAAGTTTGGATAGTCTAAGAATGCATGCTTTCATTCTGGTAATGTTACATTTTTTTAAAGAACAGTACAGTTAATGTTACTATTAATAAAGAAGACATAAGGACGTGTATTTATAAACAGATAAAATTAACTAGTGCTATTCGGATGTGAGTTTGAATAGTTATCTAAATTTAACATCATCTTGCAGTTTACACAGGAAGATTTGTTCAGTGCTTATAGAATAAACAGATCTATCTTAAGTCCTAAACATTAAGTGATCCTTAAGGGGACTGGTAGTTAAGAAAAATGCATACGTTGTCAATGACATTTTGCTTCTAACGGTAACCTGCGCTCTGTGTTATAACAAAGTCTGCTTTCAGCCACACTTCTCAGCAGCCCTCTCCACTCACCTCCCTATAAGGTCAATGCTAAGGCTTTCTCCAGTGCAAAGTCTGAAGAGCCATTTGGTCAATGGAAAAGGGTGCTGCCCTCCGTGTTGTTCCAGACTGTCACTAGACCATTCATTTTGTCTCACTGACAAAGCATGCCTTCTTGTGCTTTATAGCTTTCTTTTTCAGCTTTATTGAGGTATAATTTGACAAATAAAATAGTAATATATTTAAAGTGTACAACATGATGATTTGACATACATATACATTGTGAAAGGATTCCCACAATCAAGTTAATGAACACATCCATCACCTCATTTATCTTATAGTGAGAACATTTAAGTTCCACTCTTAGCAAATTTCAATTATACAATATAGTATCAACTATAGTCACCATGTTATTTATGCATGAGATCCTCAGACCGATTTATCTTATAACTGAAAATCTGTACCTCTCCCCATTTCATTTCCCCACACCCCCACCCCCGACTTTATATTTTTAAAGTAAGGTTTACTGACAACAATTTGAATTCACAAAGCACTTTCACATGCATTCTATCATATCACATTGACAGCAACCCAAGGGAAGAAAGCAAAGCTCAAAGAGTTGCCCAAAACTGCTTAACTAATAAGTAGTGAGGCCAAGACTTGAACCCACACCTTCTGGCCTCAAGTCCAAGGCACCTCCCCGAATAATTTTAATGTTTAACAGCACAGGCTGGACAGACGGACAGAGGTGGCTTTGACTCTGCTTGTGCAAGCTTCGGCAAGTTACTTACGTTCTCTGACATCAAGTGCAAATTGGAGAACTTGGTGACGTATGCAAAGTGCTCCTTCAATGTTAACTATTTTCAATACAAAATGATGACGGTCTAGTCTAAAATAATGAGGATGTCAAGGGAGGGGTTGATGTAAGAGAATTTCCAGAGGATGAACAGGCCTTCCTGATGGACTCATCATTCAAGTTGGAGAGAGATGAGTCAGAGATGACAAAGGCGGAAGGCTGGGAGAGCAGTTTTGCCACTGACAGGAAACAAAGAGAGGCTGACATGCGGGGAAGATGCCCTAAGTCCAGGGAGTAATGGAGCCTGAGGACTGGAGCTCAGATGGAGGCCACTCTTCCACGAGACAGACTGTGTCACCCTAAGACAGGTAGTCACTGACATCATGTGAGAAGACACAGGAATCAGCCAACACTTCTGTGCAGGAGAGGCAGTTAGGTATGAAATGACTGAGTGAGACAGGAGCATAATGCACTTCTCAGAAACAAGTGGGGAGATGGAACAGAAGTGGGGAAGCAACATTAACTTAGTTTCAGAGGTCAATGAGAATGAAGAAGTTGCTGGGCTTGGCAGAATGAAGGGGGCAATACTTCCCACTGAATCATGGAAATGATCCCATTAATGTCTGTTATTAATGCTGTGGCATACAAAGAAGAGCCTGAAAGAGGCTGCCCACTGTGCAAAAGGGGCGACAAGTAAATGCCAGAGGACTCAGCTGACTTTAATGGGTACAAAGTGTTGGTAGTGATTAATTGAGTTCACAGAAATAGGACAGTTTGGACTGGGCCTTGAAGGTTGAATAAACCTTTGACAGGCGAGTGGAGGAAGGCATTCCAGGTAGAGGGGACCATGTAAAGCGAAGGCTGGGAGGGGTGAGAACGCAACAAATCCCAGAGAATAAAGAGTATGGCGAAAAATAAGGTATGTAGGGCTTGTGAGAGTAAATAAAGCTAGAAAAGCAGATTGAAAGTCCATCAGTACCACACGAAGGAGTTCTTAACTTTGTAGGAAATAGTCATTAAAAGTTTAAGAAAATGGGTGAGAAATGATGAAATCTATCCTTTAGAAAAAAACACCAGGGTGGAGTGGAAGCCTAAGAGGCATCAGGGCCAGTACAGACCTGAACACAGGTGGTGGTCTGGGGAACAGGGGACATTGACAGGGGCAAATAACAGCCCCCAGGGAGCCAGGGCTTGACAAGGAGCACAGAAGGGCACACTGGCAGGTGTGACTGGGTGCAGGTAGCACCATCCCCAGACCACAAAGTCAGGAGGCAGCGCAGGGAGGCGTGGATGAGAGTGAGCTCTGGATCTATCCAGGAGAGAGGAGGGTCAAAGATGACCATTTTACAGTTGGGTCCTAGCAGGCTGCTGATGCCATTATCCAAAATGATGCATATTTGCTATGAAAAGTATTTGATTTTAGATATGGTAAGGCTGAGGTTCCTAAGAGCTGAAGTTTTAAAATCAACTTTATTGAGGCATAATTTATATATAACAAACTACACTCATGTGAAGTGTATAATGCATTTTGACAAATGTGTACCACCTATGCAGGGCCAGCTTCATGGGCGTGTGACCAGTGATCACACAGGGCGCTACTCTCAGAAGGGCCTTGTGCTTGGGGGTTAATGCTTAGCATTCACAGTCTGGGAATTCTTAATGTATCTTTGAATTTGTGCTTTGTAGATGAAGTCTGATGGGACAATGGACTGTGCTGGGAGAGGGGCCTGGAGCATGAGCTCTGGCTGATTCGTATCTGTCAGCCCACACCCCCTAACCCTAATTCCCACCCACTCCACCCCCACCTCAGGGCAGAGCATGGCAGCACCCCAGCACATTCAGACAATCTCACCCCTCAGGAGCCAGGTACCAAGCACAACCTCAGAGGTCATGCATGTAGGGTGGCAGCCCCAGGGAAGGGGTGATACTGGAAAGGGGACTGGTCCCTGTTCCCTGGGGAAGCACAACATTAAATAGCAAAAACAGCATGATAGGTTGGTAAAGACCACAGAAAAAAAGAACAAATTTTGTAATTTAGTACGTTTAGTGGCATATTTTTTTCCTGCTTCCCCATAGTTTCATTTTGCACTGAGCCAGGCAAATTATGTCACCAGCCCTGCACTGGTGTAGCTACCATTACAGTCAAGGTACAGAACATTTCCATCACCCCCAAATTTTCTTCTTAACCCTCTGCAGATCAATTCCCACCCCTCACCAGTCCCACCCCACCCCACCCCATACACTCCAGGCCACCCCCCAATCACTGATCTATTCTGAGACAGCTGAATTTGAAAACCTCCAGCAGGGCTCTGGACCTCCTACCTGGAACTCAGGAAAAGCAGGGCTGGTACAGACTGGGGAGTGGCCCCATAGGGGGTTTACCTGAGAGGTGTGATGACCCAAAGAAATGCAGGGAGTGTGGGCCACCCCTATACAAGGTTTAAGAGAGGGACCAGCAGAGGAGAAAGCAAAGGCAGAGGGTAGGGGAATTTACCATATTGAGGGCATATGGATTCATGAAAAAACTACTGGACAAATTAAAAGTAGTTGGAACATGGTTTTGCTTTGTTGCTCAAGGACCAGGGAAAGGATTATGAGAACCTGGTCCATAAATACTGGTATATGTTCTTCCCATTGGGAAGCCAGGTCATCCATCAAATGAAGGCAACCTTATCCTTGGTTGCAGAGCCTTTTGGACCTCATCCCTGCTTCCCGGTCCCGTTTTCTCTTCCTGCCCTTGGCCTGCAATGCCCTGTCCCAGATCTTGGTATAGTTGACTGCTCCTGATCATCCAAGTTTGTTTAAAGGTCACCTCCAGAGGCTTTCTTCCCCAATCACCAATCTGAAAGAGCACCCATTAGTCACATCAGTTTAATACACCCCATATAATACAGCCTGTTACGCCTATCATTTATAACGTCTACCAAGTCCCCGATTTCGATACACCCCCCGCCAAATACCCTTAAGAACTTGGCCTCATTCAGGGATGAATTCCCAGGGCCTAGCCCTGAATGTCTGGCACATGGTAGATGCTCAATAAACTGTTGGGTAAAAAGCAATAGGTTCATAAAAAAGGAATGAGGGTCCTGCTCCCAAACTGTAGACTTCCCCTGCAGGGAGGAGGATGTTGGGATGAACTCGCAACGGAACTGCACCACCTGTATCCTTTCTTGCCTAATCCACGCGGAGTATAAGAACTTCACGGCCCTGACTCTGTTGCGGCCTGTAGCAGGCTCTTTTACATTTCCCCATGTTATTCTCACTTCAACCCTCAAAGGCTTTATCTCACTTTCCAAAAGAGGTCGTGGAGTCTTAGGTGACTTCTCCAAGGTCACCCAGTGAGTGGCAGAGCTCAGACTCACACTCGAGTCAGGCCACTCCAAGGCTACTCCCATACACGCCCGAGCACCGCCCGCGGCCCGCCCCTTGCCCTGCGCCAGGTCCGGCCCCCGAGCTCGCCTGCCCCCGCTGGGCCGCCCAAACCCAGACGCCCCCGCGCCCGCCGAGCCGGGGTTCCGGGCGCTTACAACCGTTGTCGCTGTCGCGCGAGGTGAAATGGCCCACCCAGCGCAGTACGGCAGGCAGGGGACAACTGACGCTACAAGGAAGGCGGGCGCGGGTTCCCGGACGCCTGCGGGGCCAGCCCGGCTCCGCCCAATAGCTGGGCGCCAGGCCCCGGTGTCCTGGCAACAGGTAAACAGTGCGCCCCCCGCCCCCGCGCCCCGCGGGTGCCGCCGGCGTTTCTGCGCGCGGCCTGGAGGCGCCCACGTGCCCGCGTTCCCCACGGCGGGTTCCACGCGAGTCGGGCAGCCGGTGGCCTCGGCGTGTGGATGTGACGGGTGCTCAACCCCGGTGTGGGGTCAGCTCTGTGGCTGGCTTCCCCCTAAGCCCGCCGGGTTCCCCGGAGCGTATCGGCCTTCTGAGAAGCGTGGCCAAGCCCCAGACCCGCGGCGGTTCTCAGGCGAGTGCCCAGGAGGAAGCCGGGTGCGCGCAAGGAATGGGCGCAGGGGTGCCGCCTCCGGGTGATACCGAGAACTGGGGTCTCTCTCTTCATGTCAAGATTGGGAACCCATGCCACACCCACCTGCTCAACTGAGAAAAGAGTTACCATGGTAATACGCGTCTTATTTAAGTATGAGCGATTCCGAGGCTCTCACTAGTTTCGTATTGTTCTGCCTTGTAGAAGCACGCTTTACCAAGATTCGATACCCACGCCACGAGATTAGTGTCTTCGTCTCCTTGCGTTGTGGGTGGTGACCAACCCAAGTAATCTGAACACTGGGGATAAAGATGAGGGGGGAAAGAGAGGCTCCCCAGGTGGTCTGCGCGCGATGAAGGGGAACAGCAGCAGAATCAGGCCGAGCCCTCTTTCTGTTGGATTGGTTGGTTGTAGCTCCTTGGTTCTTTTGAGCCATTTACTTTCACACCCCGAAGATGGTTAATGTGTGAAATATAGGCCGGTAACATGGTGCGGATTCACTTAGCTGCTGCTGTCACGCCCTGAGTCCCGTACAGGGTTCTTCTCTGCAGATTAAGTAGAAAAGGAGCTCAGGTGCCACCCAGATCGCTGGCTCTAGAGAGTGATTCTTCCATTTCCAATTTGAGGAAAGGCTTTGGAGGAGACCTCTTGTGCAGGGAATTCTTGCATTTTATGCCCAGGAAAGCTTACAACATCCTTACTTCTGTCTCACCTCCAAGTCATTGGCTCACAGAGCTCCTTGTTAAGCCAAACCACTCTCTGAAAACGTCACACCTCCATTTCCAACTTCTGCTCAACCTCTCCGCCACCAGAGCCTTTTCAAGCTGTTCAAAATCCCAGCTCTTGCAAGCACTACTGTCTCTGGCCTCTAATGGCAAGTTCATCCCTCTGGCCTCGAACACAAGTACTCCTGTTTCTCAGGCCTCATCCAACCCCGTACAGCCTGCTTCTCACTCTTCATGCCACTGGTCCCCAGGCCCTCTTTGCCACCTGCCTAGAGTCTGGCAGTAGCCCATGACCTCACTGTCCATGCTAACCAGGGACTCGCCATCTCCTTTGATCGTCCCAGAAAGAATGTGATTTTGTAACCTCCACCCCAGATCCTCAGGGACTTCCATTGTCTGTTCAACTAAGCACTGCTCTGCTTGAGCTTGGCGCTCAGAGCCCTTGGTAAAGGGGACTCAACCTCTTCAGCTTTAGCTGCTGTATTATCTTCTCTGTCTTTAAAAAAAAAAAAATCCCAGGGGCGGCTGGTTAGCTCAGTTGGTTAGAGCACAGTGCTCATAACGCCAAGGTTGTGGGTTCAATCCCCACATGGGCCACTGAGCTGCGCCCTCCACAACTTGATTGAAACAAGTACTTGACTTGGAGCTGATGGGTCCTGGAAAGATACACCGTTCCCCAATTAAACAAAAAAAAATCCCACACTAGACCTACATTCTTCTGGAATCCTCCTGCGCCAGCCCCATCTCCAGCTATTGATCTACTTTTCTTCAAGACAGACCCAGCTCAGAAGTACCTCTTGCTTACCGATTGTTCCCTGAGCGCCCATAGCCCTCTGCACCTCACTGAGGCCGTTGCCTCTTTTGCCCCATTAGACTGTAGTGCAGAAATGTGTTTGGTGAATCTGTGTTCCTTCCAGTTCACTGCACGTAAGAGCACTAAATAAATACCTCTTGATTTAAATGGAGTCATTCCCAGGTTACTTCACAAGGTTGATATTGCCATTTTCTTTCAGCCCAGGGAACTGAAGCAGAATGGTTTAATAAAGCCATTTAAGCTAATGGTGTCCCACTGCTCCTTGGATAAAGGTCAAATGCCTTAGCTTCCAAGGCCTGCAGGCCAGAGCTGCACCCTGCCTACCTTTCCAGCCTCAAGTCCCCTCCCTACCCCGCTACCCAACCCCCCACTCCCCCACCCTGTGGTTTCCTGTGTGTCAGCTATATGTTCTGTCCAGCCTCAGAGCCTTTGCACAGGCTGTTTGCTCTGCCTGGAAATTCCCTACCTCTTAGGCCACAGGCCACTCTTCAGTAACCCTTCTTCCTTCAGATCCCAGACTAGGTCGCTCCCTGCCCATCCTGTGTCATCATAATGCCATGTACCCAGGGTTCTCCTCTCACAGCACAGCTGAGAAGTAAATGTGTATGGGATTTCTCCCTCACTAGACTGTATAAGCCTGATAAACACAGGAGCCCAGACCTGTAGGGCCTGGTGCACAGTAGCTGTTCGTTGAATATTTGTTCAATAAATGAAGGAGGCATCTTAAAATTCAGAAAAGCCGAAATCTACATTTGCTTCTAAATCTTGGGTCTGCATTGCATCTGAGTTACAATTTATTCACTCAGCAAATATTTATTCATCCCTACAATTTGCCAGACATTGGCCTAGGCCCTGGGAATTCAGCGGTGAACTCATACACAAACCTCTGGTTAGAGAAACATACACTAAATAATATAAACAAACAAAAACAATACTATTAGTGAAGTATGCTTAAAGTAAGAGACAGAAAGTGACCCTGCTGAGGGGGTTGTTGGGAGATCATCTATGCCCTCTCCCCCTTTGCCTGGGACAGTCCCAGCTGCTGTTTGTTGATGTGTCTTGGTTTGGGCAATAAATCATGTGGCACTACATACAACCAACCAACTGGCTGGAACCATGTGGTCCTCATTCAGGAGTCTGGAGAGTTGCAAGCTGGGAGCTATGGGTCCTGAGACCAGGAACAGCCAAGAGCCATGGAGTTTGTATTGAACCAACCCAACCAGCTCAGAAACTGAAAATTTTCACTCACAATAGTTTCTTAACTGATTCATTGAGGTGTAATGGATGTACAATAAATTGCACATATTTAAAATGTACAATTTGATAAGCTTGCCATATGTATGCACCCATTAAGCCATCACCACAATCAAGAGAACATGTTGATCACCCCCAAAGTGTCCTTGTGCTTCTTTGTAATCAGTCCTTTTCTCTGTACCCAGCTCCCTCCCTCCACCCCCATCCCAGGCAACCCCTGATCTGCCCTCTGTCTCAATAGATTAGTTTACAATTTCTAGGATTTTATAAATATGGAGTTAGACAGAATATATTCCCTGGTTAACACTTGTAAAATTATTTTGAAAGCCATCCATGTTGTAGCCTGTATCGATAGTTAGTCCTTTTTATTGCTGAGTAATATTCCGGTGTATGGTACAACTACAGTTTGTTTAGTCATTCACCCACTAATGGATTTTGGGGTTGTTTCCAGTTTTTAGTTATTACAAATAACGCTACTCTGAACATTCATGTACAAACAAGTCTTTGAATGGACTGACATATGCTTTCATTTCTCTTGGTAAATACCCAGGAGTGGAATGGCTGGATTGTAGGGTAGGTATGTGTTTAACCTTTTAAAGAAACTGCCAAATTGTTTCCTGAAGTGTCTCTATCATTTTAGATTCCCACCAGCAGTGTATGTCCTCATGAACTTGGTATGGTCAGTGTTTGTAGCTTGAGCCATTCTAATAAATGTGTGCTGGTATCTCATTATGGTTTTCATTGCATTTCCCTAATGACTTGATGTTGAGTATCTTTTCATGTGCTTATTGGCCATTTGTATATCTTCTCTGGGGAAGTGTCTAAATCTTTTGACCATTTTTTATTGGGTTGTTTTCTTATGTTTCAAGAGTTCTTTATCTATTCTGGATGAAAGACCTTTATCAGATATATGACTTACAAATATTTTCTCCCAATTTGTGGCTTGGCTTTTCATTTTTCTTGACAATATCTGTTGAAGAGCACAAGTTTTTAATTTTGATGGTCAACTTATCAGTTGGTCAACAAGTTTGTTCTTTCATGGATTGTGCTTTTGGTGTCAGAACCAAGAAATCTTTGCCTAACCCAAGGTCACAAAGGTTTTCTCCCATATTTTCTTCCAGAGGTTTTTAGTTTTTGGTTTTACAGTTAGCTCTGTGAGCCATTTTGAGTTAATTTTTGTATATGGTGCCAATATGGATTGAGGTTCATTTTTTTTTTGAAAATGGATATTTATTGTTCCAGCACCATTTGTTGAAAAGGTTACCCTTGCTCCACTGAATTGCTTTGGCACTTTTGTTAAAAATCAGTTGTTCGTATATGTGTGGATCTACTTCTGAACTCTTTATCCTGTTCCATTGATCTATTTGTCTATCTTGACATCAATACATACTGCCTGGAAAGTGTAGCTTTATAATAGGTCTTGAAATAAGGTAGTATTAGTCCTTCAACTTTTTCAAAGTGCTTTTTATTTCCATATGAATTTTAGAATCTTTTACAAAAAGGTGAGAACTTTGAATAAAAATATCAACCCTCTCTATCTTATGTCCTTTGAATTTCCATATGAATTTTGGAATCAATTTGCCAATTTCTACAAAAAGATGAGAACTTTGAATAAAAATGTCAGACTTCTGTGTGAATTTTAGTCCTCAAACCATTTTAGAGGTTAAAACACACTTCTTTTTGCAGTTATTCCAGGTATGTCAAGCGTGGTTGACATGCAAAAAAAAAAAAAAAAAGTGTAAAATCATAAAGAAAGCCAAGACCCAAAATCTTTAAGAGCTTCCGGCTGTGTATGTTCCATACCCCACCAGGGGGGTTTTATCAGGAGATGCAGTCATCATGTGGGTGTTCAGAGTGTTCATTTTGGTTTCCTCACAGAAGCAAGCTGGGCCTCTGTGTTACACGATGCTTCTCATCTTTATTCCTGGGTTTTGCATCTATTCCACTTCACTTCACAAAAGTATATTTTCGTGTTTTAACACATAAACTATGTTTCTCTTTGTTTAGCTCGAGACGTTTTTAAAGCGAGATGCTACGAACAGAACATCGATTATACAAGTATTTAGTCTTTGCAGGTGTCCTTGATAACTTACCATTCCTCTCCTTTCCCTTGTCTAGCTAGAAGAGACACTTTCTAAATAATACACGTCTGTCGGTTATTTTCTATATCGTAGGACATAGCTAAGTCAGCTCAGCTTGGTGCAGCTCAAGCAGAACTTTGGAGAGAGTTTATTCCCAGGTTAGGATAGTATCCTGTCCTTTTCCCAAAAAGCATTGGTTGGCCTGGCAGCGTGGTGGTGGCAGAAACACAGGCACTGAGCCTGGTGGACACCGGTTTGCACTGCGACCTTGCTGAGCTGAGAGCACTACCCACTCCCTTGAAATACAGCTCTGAGAATTAGCTGTGATAAAGTGATGGCGACAATTACTTAGAGTGTTTACTCCTTGTCAGACGCTGTGCTGAGTGCCTTATATTATCATCTCAGTCCTCACGGCTGCTTAATGAGCTGGAGACTACCGCATAACAAGTGCCAATATATATATATATATGTATATTCCTGATTATCGAATATGCTTTTCCTTTCATTTTTATTATCAAAGTTTCCATATATACACAAAAATGAATCCCCATGTATCCATTCAGAAAATTACCAGGATTTTGCCACATTTCTTCATCTGTCCCTTTGCGCGGAGGGAGCTGCAGTATTTTAAAGCAAATCTTAAGCCTTCTTTCATTTCATTCCTACAGATTTTAGTCTCTCTGAAATGTGTAAACATTTTTTTCATGACCCAATGCCGTTATCAGACCTGATAGAATTAATAATTTCTTGGTAGTATCAAATTTCCCCAATTGCCTAAAAAATGCCTTTTTACAGTTTGTTCAAATAAAAATGCAAACAAGGCCCACACATTGCATTAGGTTGGGTCTCTTTTAACCTGGGGGTGCTTAATGTACATTTGTTGAATTATTAATAGACTGCAAGTGTCTTCTCTTCCCACCCCATGCAAAAGTTGTTGTTATTGTTAACCATCTTTTCCTTTTAGGAATTTTTTTGTTTTTCTTAAGTTCAGTAGGATATGTTGAAAATCACGTCAAGGTTATAAACACTAATGTTTTGCCCCATATGTATACTTGTCTTTGAAAGCCAGGTAAAAAGAAAAGAGGAAAAGGCCGGGTGGCATCTCGCAGGAATAAGCAGAAGAAACCGGAAGTGGACATTTTCAGCCCAGCTGCGATGCTGAACCTCTACTACATCGCGCACAATGTCGCCGACTGCCTGCGCTTGCGGGGCTTCCGCTGGCTTGGTGCCCCCAAGTCAAAGAAAGGGAAAAGCAAGACTTAAGTGATAGCGTTTTACAACATATCTCTATTACAGAGAACAGAGCTTGGGGAAGAGAAATCAGGATAATACAACTATTGCAAGCAAAGTAGACTTTACTGAAGACAACTTGAGACTCAAGCATTTCTGTGGTAGTTAATGATAAAGTAATGCGTTTTACTTCCTCAGACCACTCCAGGTATGGTTAGCCACTTGGTTTTTCAGAAGTGAAGGGAGAAGAAAACTGAGGCATTCTTGCACAGTGTGGTGGAATTGATAGGACTTTCAAAAATTATTGTAATCCTGGGTCAGAATTAAACCTTGCTCTCAAAAGACAGTGAATTCTAGCTTGCATGAGTTTTGTTTTGCCAAAGGGGGTTTGTTATTTAGAGAAGACATGGCAAAAAGCACAGGATTTGCTTATGAACTTCCCTCTCTTGGGCACTGTTTTCTTTTCCTGTCTTTTTCAGGAAAAATAATAAATATTTTGTTTCTATAATTTTCTTCTCAGCAGCCTGCTTCTTGCCTGATTCTAATTAGCCACAGACACCGGTGGAAACTAAGATTGTCTTAGTGCTCTGACCTTGTTAGGGCATATAAACAAATGATTCAAAGGAGCCCACAGTGTTCAGTGGTTGGGGTGCAGGGAGAAGGAAACAAACCAGCCTCATCCCTCTCTGCCTTCTATTTCACCTGACTCCTCCCCCCTTTTTCTGCACACTTACATCTCCTCCCCAGCTTCTGCAGGCTTTCTGTTCAACTTGACGGACCCCGAGTTATGGAATTGGTGCCAGGAATTTTCCCTGGGCATTCTGCTGATATTACAGGACCTCCCTAGCCTGGGCAGAGACACTTAAGAGAGAAAGCTGCAGTTCTTTCTCCTCTCGGCCCTAAAGACCTAAAAGCCCCAAATACGGAACTTGGAAAGAAAGGCATTTTCAAGTGTCAACACCGTCTCTGGATCACCTAGCATCCCGTCCGTGCCTCCTGCTCTGTCTGTCTTTCCAGCATGTTCTGCCGCTTCCCCCATTCTGACGCCTGCACCGTTGTCTCCATTCAGAACTCTGGTTCCTCTAGGCAGTGCCTGTCTAGGGATGGTCTAGTTGGTCAGAATTACTTACAAGGATGCCACAGGCTGCCTGGCTAGGATCTCAAACATTCACTCAGCTTGCTGAGGGAGGCAACAGCCCAGGACTCAGGATTTCATAAGTATCGAAGAAGAAAGGAAACCACATGAGTCTTCATACTAGAGAAGCGGGTGCTCATAACACACGTGAGTTTGTTGGGGATGACGTTTGAGTAGCTGTCCTGACTGTGCAGATTCAGGGTGAGACCTAATTTCCAGGTCAAGAGGAACTGAACAGGGGGTAGGGGTGAGGGGAGCATGAGATGAGGACATGGTGAGGCCAACCTGACCTCTGGGGCCAGATCCAAGACGGTGCCAGGGAGCAAAGCAGCAGTGGCGTTTCTTCACTTCTGTGCTCACTGTAGTGAGACCACGGGCTCTGCCGGCTGTTGACACTTTATCCTCCCTGTGTGCTCATTTTCGTTCTGCTTACTCTCTGTTTCTGCTTTTCTAAAACTTCATCTTGTTGTGATCCCTGTGACTCCAGTTCTGCTTTGTGGTCTCATTCTATGCTTCCTAAATGCCTTGTTCCTGGGTCTTTATAGGAGAAAAAAGCTGATAGACCCACCTTGTCTTACAATAGAACAGGCTCTGTGGTGGCAGCCAGCTGATGAGTGGTGGGGGGCAGGGGCCTCCCACTGGTCCAGTTGGTGGTGCCAAGGGGTGGTGCGGGCATTACTGGTCAGGAATGACTAGTCACGGATACCAGGAGATTTCTTCATGGGGGCAAGGGATAGTGTGGCTTACAGCAGTGCTTGCTTCCTTTCCCTCTAGCTGTTATTCCTCCCTTTATAGGCAAGATCCTGGAAAGAATCTCCTCACATTTTCTTCACTTCCTCACCTTCTTGTCACACATCTTTCCTCTCTCACCTTTTTTTTTTTAACCTACTTTGTACTTAAAATTTCAAGACTACAGAGAGGTTGAAAGAAAGTACAGTGAACCCCCAGACCCTTTACCTAGACCAGGGCCCTCAACCTCGGCACTTGGGGTCGGATAATTCATTGTTGTGGGAGACCGTCCTGTGCATTGTGGGATATTTATCAGCATTCCTGACCTCTGCCTACTAGGTGCTGATAGCACCCCCTCAACTGAGACAACCAAAAATGTCTCCAAGCATCACCAAATGTCCCCTGGGAGGCAAAATCACCCCCAGTTGAGAATCACTGACCCAGATTCAGGAGTGAATGTTTTGTCACATTTGCACATGCACACTATGTATAAATATGTCCATATGTAATACATGTATATATTATATACATATACAATACAAATATATATACACACAAAAACAGACATGTATACATGCATATCTATTTCTTATATACATATAATCAGAGAGAGTGAACAAATGTTGCAAAAAATCATACATATGTACCACTAAGAAATAAGGGGGAAAACTCACCACTAAATGCCATCAGTTGTATGACACATTATGTTCAAATGTGTCTTTGAACAAAAAAGAAGTGTCTTCAGGCAGGCAGAGTGGCTCGTTGGTTAAGAGTTGACTTGGGAGCGTGAGCTCTGAGCAGCAGGACCACTGGTTCAGATTCCACATGGGCCAGTGATGCTGTGCCCTCTACAGCTAAGATGCTGAACAACAGCTCTACCTGGAGCTGGGCTGCTGTGAGTCGCCAGCGATGGCGTAGGCTGCAGTGGGGCTGCAGTGGGCTGCTGTAAGCTACCATGAGTGGCCATCCAATGGCCAGCGAGCGACTGCCTCACCCGGGAAGAGCACAATGATAATACCAACATGGGCCAGTGAAGCGACGTCCTCCACAACTAGACCAAAGACAAAAAGGACAGCAACTTGTCTGTTCCCCTTCCCCGATTTCCCAACACTGTTCCCTTCCCCAATTTCCCAATAAAATATTTTTTAAAAAAATGTCTTCAAATGGGCGGGATTTGGTAATTGCTGAGCTAGTGACCTGTTTGCACCCTTACCCTCTTCTCAATACTCTCTGCTGTCTTGTCCCCTTTGATGGTCTCTCCTCCTATCTCTGGCTGTGCTTCTACATCTGTTTTTACTTCTCCTCTTTCTGTCCACAGGGTGTCCATTTACATGGTGTCCACAGGATTCTCCCCATGCCGCCCCACCTTGGCTATGCCCTGTATCACTTCCGTCCTCCGTCCCACCCCTACCCCCAGCCAATTGCACCAGGGCTGGTCACCTGAAAACACGAGCTAGGTGCATCAGACCTTCTCCCTGGGAGACGTGAGGTGGCCATGGGAAATTCAGGGAGATGTCCTGCAGGCACTGGGGAGTTTGGGACTAGGGCTCGGAAGAGAGATGTTGGCCAGGTGGGTAGGTTTTGACGTATTCAAGCTCGTGGTTGGAAACACAGGCCGGTCAGGATAGTGTAGCGATAAGGAAGGAGCACCGAGTTAGGAACCTTGGGAACAACCTCCTTTCGTTTAGGACAAAAGAAAGAAGAGGAACTGTCACAGGAGGAGGAGGAGGACAGGGTGAGGAAATCTGAAAGGAAAGGGGGCTGGGGTCTGTGGGGCTGCATGCTGCAGCCATGTCAGGGAGAATGACGGAATGGCACAGGGACCATGGTCTGCTGGACAGGGGTCCCTTGTCGCAGTCTCCTTTATAAAAGCGGAGATGAGCGTAAATGTGCAAGGGAGGAACGGGAGTTCACAAGCCACAACTTGTTGTCAGAACCCCGGTCTGCGCCCCGCCCAGCCGTCTGTGGCCAACGCCTCCTCATCGCCCCCTGGCGGTAGGAGCGTGCAGCATGGGTCCCTGAGCTGCCAGTGAGGGCCCAGAGACGCCGGCTAGTGAAGCAGGGTCACCGCAGTGGCCAGGCGCTCCTGGAATCTGGGCAGACGTGCACGCAGAGCCACTCGCTGCTGGGTTAGGGGGCTGCATCGTGTTTGGTCTGGAGAGTCAGAGCCAACACGAGATTGACTTTCTCCTTACCTGCCATTCCTTACCACACACAAATCCCGTGTTGGCCATTGCTCTTTAAAAATACAGATGTGGGGCCGGCCGAGTGGCACAATGGTTAAGAACTGGCTTGGGACGCCAGAGGGCTCTGGTTCAGATCCCACATATGAGGGCCAGTGACACTGCCCTCCACAGCTAAGATGCTGAACAACAGCTCAACCTGGAGCTGGGCTGCCGTGAGTCGCCTGGGACAGCATAGGCTGCAGCCCCTGCTGCAGTGGGTTGCCATGGGCTACCGTGTGTAGCCAGCAGCCAGCGTGAGCGGCCAGCAGCCGCAGTGAGCGGCCGTCCAGAGGCTGGCGATGGATCTACCCCGACCGGGAAGAGCGCGATGATGGTGCCAACTTGGGCCAGTGAAGCAACGTCCTCCAAAACTAGACTAATGAACAAAACGACAGCAACTTGTCTGTTCCCCTTCCCCCAATTCCCCAGCACTGTTCCCATCCCCCCAATTCCCCAATAAAAATCTTTAGGGAAAAAAAAATACAGATGTGATCACATTGCCCTTCTGCCTCAAACATTCCCGTGGTGACTCATTGCTCTTTGGATAAGACCAAACTTCCCACTGTGGCCCACAAGCACTGTGTGTTAGGTCAAACTCCAATTGACATATATTAGTTTTAGGTGTACAGCATAATGATTCAATATTTGTATATATTGTGAAGTGATCACCACAAGAAGTCTAGTTAACATCCATCCCCATACATAATTACAAATTTTGTTTTTCTCGTTATAAGGATTCTGGGAATAGTTCTTTATGGAGAGGAACACCTTACTCAGCCTGGAAGAGGGAAGTAAATTCTGACACATGCTCGAAACTTGAATACATAATGCTAAGTGAAATAAGTGAGAGACAAAAGGACAAATATTGTATGATTCATTTATATAAATGATCTAGAATAGGTAAATTCATAGAGACAGCACGTTGAATAGTGGTTACCAGCAGCTGAAGGGAGCGTGGAAGTGGAACAGAAAGTTTTGTTTAGTGGGTACAGAGATTCTATTCGGGATGAGGAAAAAGTTCTAAATGGATTGTCGTGATGGTTGTACAACCTTATGAACGTACTCAATGCCACAAAATCGTACACTTAAAAATGGTTAAAATGACTAATTTTATGTATAGCTTACCATAATAAAAAAATGCAAAATCAATCAATGCGTTTCCCTCCTTGTTCTAGATCTCCAGTAGAGGTGGAGTGGGGGTGGGGAACAGCATGTGCAGGGCAGACCTCCCACGAGGCTTCCTCTCTCCAGTTGGACAGTGTGGGGGGGGGGCAAGAGAAAGGGGACTTCCTCAGAAAGACAGGACCCCCCTCCACTCTCCTCCCTCACTCTGCTCCCTCCCTCTGCCTACGCCTTTTTTCTCATCTTTTCCTTGTGGAGAAAACAGTGCTGTCTCTATCCTCCTGC